TTAACTCCCGTAGGGTAAGTTATAGTAACTCGTCAAAAATCGAAATGAAAATTTTTGCATTTCTCACTTTCAAAACTTCTGAACATTTTGGCATACCTTAGAAAAAATGGATGTTATGTGTGTGTGTGGTTGTGTGTGTGTGTGTTATGTATTATGTATGTATTATGTGTGTGTATTATGTGCGGATACAATTTTCGACGATTTTGGGACACGGATCCAACCGATTTGAATAATTCAAAAACATTCGATTCGTATGATAAGGAGACGTGCTGATTATTTTTGGCAAAGGCAGGTCTAGCCGTTCCGAAGATACGGGGCAAAAAGTGCCAAGAACGGTACCTCCGTTTTTAGAGAACGGAGCGTCCGATTTGAATAATTCAAAAAACATTTTACTTGTATTGACAAGATGTAGCATTGATCAAATTTTCATGGAGCAGTTCTAGCGGTTTCGGAGATCTAATGAAAAAAGTAAAAAAATAATGCCATTCGCGGTTAAAAATTATCATTAGACATATGCACATCAAATTATCAGATATTTATAGAGATTTTAACAATAAGTATATTTTTTTTTACATTTTTATGGGTTCCGTACCAATGCTTATGCGTTAGACGGCGGCGCGGCACATGCGCGCTTTGACATTTCGTCTCTATGCAGTTCAAGCAGTGCGATTGCTTTGAAAAAAAGTTCAGAATTTCCAAAATATGTCAAAATGAAGAAAACATTTTTTTCAAAAAAAAAATTTTTTGTATCCAAAAAAAAAATTTTTTTTTCAAAAAAAAATTTTTTTTTCATATATTTTTTTTTTCAAAAAAAGTAATTTTTTTTCAAATTTATATTTTCTCAAATCTTATTTTTTTTAATTAATTTTTTTTCAAAATGTTAATCGTTTTTAAAAAAATAATAATTTTTGGTACGGGAAGTTCCAGCAATTTGCCTAAGGCACGATCCCTAATTGCCTTAAGACAGAATTCCACTTACAGCTAGTTGAACCGTAATTTGCCATGACTATTGGTAATCAATTTCGCTAATACCGAAATCTACGAGTGTAAGCAAAAGTTTTCTCAGTTTCAGAACCTCCGTTTGTGATGCACGTGTATTCGTGCATCCTTGGATTTTCATTGTGTTCGCATGAAATGTGCTCCGTTGGGACCGGGCGCGATGTGAAAAGTGTGTGCGTGCCTGTGCGGTCGAGTTTTCTCCCATTCATGGTTTACGTCGCCGTTATGAATCCCGAATACACAGCTCCAAGGCCTTGTCCTGGCACGCACACCAAACCGAAAATGTAATGAATTTATTTTCTCCCTGATATCACTTTTATGAAAAACATTGTTTATATTTAATAGCAAGAAAGCATTATTTTATTTGTTGTACAATATAACCATATAATATATTTAATTGATTAACTTCCCGTAGGGCAACTTATAGTAATCGCAAAAAATCGAAAATAAAATTTTCCATCTATCTTTACGTTTCAGAGGTTTCTGAACATTTTGGCATATTTTAGTAAAAATGGATGTATGTGTGTGTGTATGTGCGCGCGCGTGTTGTGTGAGTGGATACAAATTTTCGTCGACGATTTCGGGAACACCGATCAACTTTGAATAATTCAAAAAACATTCGATTTATATTGATAAGGAGACGTGCTGATTATTTTTTGGCGAAGGCAGCTCTAGCCGTTCCAAAGATAAGGGGCAAAACATTTTACTTGTCTTGACAAGATGAATAACTGATTAAATTTTTGGGAAAGCAGGTCTAGCGGTTATGAACTCTCAATAAAAATAAGTTAAAAAAATGCCATTTGGCGGTCAAAAATGTTTATTGGACATAAGTACATCAAATTATCAGATATTTTAAAAAGATTTTAATAACAACGTGTACACAGTTTTGTAATTTTTCTGGGTTCCGTACCAAGATTTTTAATTTCGACAGTATGGAATAACCGACTTATAAAATTGGAAAATAATTCGCTTCGTACTCGATCGCTAGACGTTTTTGCAAAAAGCGTACGGGAAGTTCCAGCAATTTGCCTTAAGGCACGATGCCATGCGCCCCACTAGTTTATATATCTATTCATATTTGATTGGTAAGTTTTAGATGTGAGGATGTTGATGTGTAATATGCCCTAAAAATGCAAATAAGCAATATGTATTTAAATACACGTATTTCATTGTCAAAGTTTGGTACTATTTATGTTTAATCTTCACATTTTCGATAGTATAATATAAATGTATATTACCAATTATATTTTATATTACCTAATTATATTCTACCTATCTAACGTAAAATTAATAATACATCTTAAAAAACGATTGGATATTATAAACTAAAACAATGGGGATGGGATATTTTTACAAGAAAACATATTTCTATCTATAATTTCAAAAGAAAACTGGTAACATAAGATTGTTCAAGGCAGATTAGTAAAACAAAGTTCCAACTACTAGACCACTAAAAATCGAAATCTGAACACAAATTGTGAAATTTATTCACTTCTTGTGTTTATAATAATAGGTATTTTTTTAATATTTGTCAGCCATTGTGCACCCCTTTTACTTGCTTAGTGACTTATAATTAATATAGAGCGCAACGAAAAGAATTCAGTGGCAGTATATTTCCCAAGAGCCACGGTTAGCCATTAATAAATAACGATGTTTTAATTAATATAATATTATTACTGTTTTACTTTAACTTAAACTCCCATGTACAAAAATTGTTGCAATTAATAACATTATAATTTACTAATTGCAACAATTTTTGTCCATGGAGCAGTAGAGTTGGATAAATAGCCGATAAGCCAACCATGATAATAGACAAAGAAAAATATATATTTAATATAATATATATATATTATATATATATATATATATATATATATATATATAGGGGATTATGGGTACAGTTGTGCCAAAGCACGTTAAAATATGCTGATTTTGACATAGGGTCCAAATGGAGTAAGTTGTAGTATGTTTGTTATTATAATTTCAATATTTTATAAATATTTTATTCATATTTTATTAATATTGCAATATTTTTGAAATAAAATATTGTTCGAAGTGATGTCATCTGGCTGGTTTTCGTTCCGACAAAAGTATTTGAATCAATGTTTTGTATTAAGGCGCACAGATGTCACGTCCATTTCTCTATTATATAATATCAACAAATATTGAATCGACAAATTAAAATAAGTCCAAAAAAATACCATATATCTTATAGAATATATACATTCTGAATAATTTATATGTGCTTTTATGTAAGTGATAAAATTAATTTCCAAAATTTAAATAGTACATGTAAAAGTAAAAGCATTATATAGAAAATACGTATGCTGATTAAAAATTGATAGTATTGTAATTCAAAAAAATATTTAATTTATTGCAACTTTCAAATATTACAACAATTATGATTGTAAAAACTGCAAAAATGCGTTATGTTATATCGTCGGTTTTTGATATTGTTAACTTCCCGTAGGGTAAGTTATAGTAATCGCAAAAAAATCGAAAGTGAAAATTTTTATATATCTTTACGTTTCAGAGGTTTCTGAACATTTTGGCATACCTTAGAAAAAATGGATGTATGTGTGTGTGTGTGTGTGTGTGTGTGTGTGTGTGCGTGTGTGTATGTATGTGCGGATACAAATTTTCGTCGACGATTTCGGGAACACGGATCAACCGATTTGAATAATTCAAAAAACATTCTATTTGTATTGATAAGGAGACGTGCTGATTAGTTTTTGGCGAAGGCAGGTCTAGCCGTTCCGGAGATACGGGGCAAAAAGTGCCGAAAACGGTAACTCAGTTTTTAAGAGAACGAAGCGTTCGATTTTGATAATTCAAAAAACGTTATACTTGTATTGACAAGGAAAATAATTGATAAAATTTTCATAAAGGCAGGTCTAGCGGTTTCGGAGATCTAACGAAAAAAG